TTCGGTTTGGAGTTTGGAATATTGAAGGCTTACACGGAAAATTAAATGATACAGATTTTTTATCAAAAATAAACCATTTTGACTTAATTTCACTAGTAGAAACCTGGCTTCCCTATGGGAATCCAGATGTTCACATTGATGGCTATTGTTCATTTTCTAAATGTCGTAAAGAAAAATCCCTTAGTTCGAGAAGAAATTCAGGTGGAATAACCATTCTGATAAAACAATCCCTCCGAAAGGGGGTCAAATTTTTAGATAAAGACAGTAATGAAGAATTTGTATGGTGGAAATTAGATAAGACATTTTTTAATCTAACCAGTGATATTTTTGTTTGTTCAGTTTATATACCACCTCAAAATTCCTCTCGAGAAATCAGACTTAATACTGATCATTTTGAAAATCTTCAAAATTACATCCATAAATTTTCAGCTTTGGGTGACGTCATTTTATGCGGTGATTTTAATGCTAGAACAGGTACTCTAGATGACTTTACACATGTAGATCCTTTTCTGAATGAGGGAAATTTATCCACAATTACAGTAAGTAAACGATTTTCGAGAGACCCCAACACAAATTGTTACGGAAGATCGTTAGTTGAATTATGCATTGAAAATAATTTAGTTGCATTGAACGGTAGGACTAAAGGTGATTTAACTGGTCAATTTACTTGTAATACCTATAATGGATCAAGTGTCGTGGATTACGCTATTGTTGCGCAGGAGTTATTTCCACTCATCAACAGTTTTACAGTAGACTACCCGACTGAGTTTTCTCACCATTCTTGTTTAAATTTCGTAATGAGAATCAAAACACCTAAATATCCGAATGTCAATATGGAGGTATTGAATAAACCAATATCTTTTGTATGGGATGAGACTAAGAAACAAGATCTTTATGATGTTATGAGTTCTGAAGATACTGTTAACAAATTAGAGTCATTATTCTGTGAACAAAATGATGCAGATAGCAGTTTAGTTGATATTGATGTGATTGTTAACAATTTCTCTGAAATATTATGTGAATCATCTCTGAAAATACTAAAACGTAAAAAGCAAATTAATAAAAACAAGAACAAAAAACAAAGACAGAAATGGTACGACGAAAACTGTCATACGCTCAAAAAGAATCTAAGAAATTTGGGAAAATTACTGACAAAGTATCCCAATGATCCCTTTTTACGCCATAATTTCTTCGCAAAAAGAAAAGAATATAAAAAGTTAATAAAGAAAATGAAGAGAAAGTTTCATAATTCATTGCTGGAGAAAATTCAAAATTTATCTGATAGAAATCCTAATGAATTTTGGAAGGTAGTTAATACAATAAAGACAAACAAATCTTCGGGAACCTGTAATGAAATATCTCCAACCGAGTGGTTTGATTATTTTGAAAATTTAAATAGATTCAATGACCATGGTGACAAGAATAGTCATGAAGTACAAATTGTAAAAGACTATAATATTTGGGCAGCGACAAAGAATGAAACGCTTAACAAACCAATTTCTTCTGTGGAAATTTATAATTTATCAAAAAAGTTAAAAAACAAAAAAGCTTCTTCAGTGGATTCTTTATCCAATGAAATAATCAAATTAGCAGTCAAAGCCTTACCATTATATTTTGTCAAAATTTTTAACACCATTTTATCAAAAGGAGTATTTCCATCAGCTTGGGCTAATGGCTACATTGTTCCAATATATAAATCGGGTAATACGTTTGACCCTGGTAATTATAGAGGAATATGTATCAGTAGTTGCTTGGGGAAATTTTTCACTTTAATAATGAATACTCGTTTAAATGAATTCCTGGAAGAAAATAACGTAATAAATAAGTGTCAAATTGGTTTTCGAAAACATCATTGAACAGCTGATCACCTTTTAGTTTTAAAAACCTTAATTGATTTTTACAAATCTCATAGAAAACCGATTTTCGCTTGTTTTATCGACTTTAAAAAGGCGTACGATAGTGTTTGGAGAAAAGGTCTTTTGTTTAAGCTTATTTCATGCGGGTGCAGCAAAACATTTTTACGATTTATATCAAATATGTATTCCTCCGTAAATTACTCGGTTAAATTGAAAGATGGAGTAACTCCCCCTTTTCAATCTTATATTGGTTTAAAACAAGGGTGCAATCTTAGTCCTACTCTATTTAATATATTTATAAATGATATACCAAATTTGTTTAATCAATCGTGTGACCCTGTTAGACTTGATAATACGGACTTGAGTTGTTTACTTTATGCAGACGATTTGATTTTGTTGTCCGAGTCGAAAGCAGGATTGCAAAAGTGTTTATCAAAACTCGAAATATATGCAAAAAAATGGAAACTTAATATTAACAAAAAGAAATCCAAAATTTTAGTATTTGGCACAGCAAATCAGAGACGCTCATATTTGCTGACAAAATGGTACTATGAAAATGAAGCCCTGGAACAAGTAGATGAATATTGCTATCTTGGAATTACTATTCATTTTTCTGGGAATTTTAAGAAAGCCCTAAAAGTCTTACGCGATAAAGCTCTAAGAGCATACAATAACCTTTTAAAAAAATTTTCTAATTTTGAAAACGTACCAATAAAAATACTTTTAAAACTATTTTCAGCGATGATAATCCCCATTTTGTTATACGGATGTGAAATTTGGGGACCTTATTTCATAGGTAGAGTAACTACCTTTGAGATCTTTAAGAGTAAATTCTTCAAAATTATCAATAAAATTGAAAGAATTCATTTAAAATTCTGCAAACGAATTCTTGGCGTGCACTCAAAAACAACAAATTTGACTATTTATGCCGAATTAGGAAAGGTTCCTTTGATTGTTCAAATTTCTACTCTTGTAGTTAAATACTGGATTCGTATTAGCAGTACATACTTTAATAATACGTTATCTGGTGAAGCTAGAAACGTTTGCATGCGTTTGAATCTAAAACCAATAGTTTTCATACAATTTTTGCTAAAAATGTGTAAATTAGAGATGAAGGACTTCGAAAAATTTTCAAACTCCAGTGATGAGTCAACCAAAACAAGACGAAATTTTTGCCATTATTTAAATGTTACATTAAATAACGAATTTACCTCATTTTGGAAAGACCAGGTTCTTCAAAATGATGATAGTGGTAAATTGAAAGAATATAAGAAACTTAAAGTAAATGTGGGTATTGAAAAATACCTTTTAGAAATTAAAAATTTTAAGTACCGTCAAGCAGTTACAAGATTACGAGTTTCAGCGCACAGATTACCAGTAGAAATTGGCCGATATAAAAAAATTGCCTCCTGTGACAGAAAATGTAAGCTTTGTGATCAGGGTGAAGTTGGAAATGAACAACATTACCTAATGTCATGTGGTAACACAGTGTTTACATTTTTGCGACAGAATTTTATTAATTCTGTATATAAAATTAACCAATCATTTATATATTTTGATACACAAAGTTTGTTCCATTATATACTAAGTATGAAAGATAGAAATATTCTGAAAGTATCTTCAAAATATTGCTACGATATACTAAGAACTTTTGACATATTGAATGAGTTAGCCTGAATAAATTATTTGTAAGTTTATATACTGTAATGTCTTTTTTATATTTTATTTTTTGTAACTAATGTATATGTAGGTATTCAATGTACCAATATTGGTATTTGTTTGAATAAAGTTTCTCCTTCTTATGCTGACAGATTTTGAAGATGCTTCATCTTACCTTAATCAGTAATTGAAGCTTAAAAGTATTTGAATAAATAGGCATATGGAACTACGGTTTCTAAGTTGAAGTGGAATTTGAGTTGCTAACATAATGTTGCGATAAATACAATATGACATTGCTTTGCTCTAATGCACAATCTACTGCATGATCTTGCATGATGACAATTAAGTTTATTTGTTCCAAATACTTTTAAGCTGATATACTCTTGTGTCAGAAAGATGTGTCATCTTATGCTGACAGATTTTGAAGATGTTTCATCTTACCTTAATCAGTTGAAGCTTAAAATTATTTGAATATATATAGGCATACTGTATGGAACTAAAATTTCTAAACCCCAATGGAATTTGAGTTGCTAACATAATGTTGCGATAAATAAAATATGACATTGCTTTGCTCTATAGCACAACCTACTGCATGCATGATCTTGCATGATGACAATTAAGTTTATTTGTTCCAAATACTTTTAAGCTGATATACTCTTGTGTCAGAAAGATGCGTCATCTTATGCTGACAGATTTTGAAGATGCTTCATCTTACCTTAATCAGTAATTGAAGCTTAAAAGTATTTGAAGTAAATAGGCATATGGAAAAGCATGCGCATATTGCATCTGAAATAATAGAAGGCAAGTCAAAACAGTCACCAGCAAGCGATGCCGATGTTTATGCTTTAGAGAGAGTTGTTTTAAATTAAAGGTTGGGGAGTTTTGTAAGTGCGAACAGATTATCGTGCTAAGCAAATCATGTCTCAACGATATAGTGAAATACTGAAAAAAAAAACAGTTACTGAGCCACCATCACAGAACGCACAACTTTATCTGATATATAGGCACATGGTAAACACTTGATACATGTAGAACAGAATAATTCATAGATCTTTGACTTTGTTACAATATGTCATTCTGGGTACCATATGCTGCTACGTTGAGGCCATCAGAAGACGAAAAAGCCCAACATTTACACGTTTTATGGCTATCTTTAAAACAGGGAACGGGGAATCGGGGAATCCGGGAATCGGGGAATCCGGGAATCGGGGAATCGGGGAATCGGGGAATCGGGGAATCCAATAACAATTTTATAAAAATTTAAATAAAAATTTTATTCAATTTACAATTTATGCAATAAAAGAAAATGAAGCTTAATCGAAAGTTTGACGTCACACCAAAATTGCAGGACACGAAGTCGTGAAAAAAACCAGTTTAATACTTTTAAACGGGCATTTAATGTAAACTTCACGCAGGATATAAACTAAAGCGAATGTGTAATAGCCATGATTGCGCTAAATTAAAGAGTTTCGGTATGCATTGTCGCCATTTTTTGTTGGCACTTACATGTAATATAATATCTCATTGCTTTTATTGTGATTGCGATTGTCAAATATAATAGCGGTAACACGTTTGCAAGTCGCTTTTTCCTGCTGACATTCATGATGTAATATGATATTTCATTGCTTTGATTGTGATTGTCAAATATAATAGCGGTAACACGTTTGCCAGTCGCTTTTTTCCTGCTGACATTCATGTCTGGAGTGCATGGAAGCTTTAAAATGCCATCGCTAATAAAGCGAAGGCGAATAGATCATGGTCTGCCTCCAACTGTAGTTTTACTAACCAAGACTGAAGACCAGAGATAAATTTGTACAACTGAAAGTCTGAAACTATACTTTAACAAAACTTTATGTGTAAATGTTGCGGAGTTTGTACTTTGCTCTCGCCTGATTATGTTTTTCGTGACTTCGACCGTTCGAGTTGTACGGGAAAATAGAGAGTTTAAGTTCGACTTCGAATACCGATACCAACAACAGGTCATGTTCATGCGCTGTGGTCGCAAAAAGCACGAGGGCAAGCGCAAAAAGAGCGACTTCGCTCAGTCAATTTAAGCGTAGTATTGCGGAACTGTCCTTTTAGAACCATGTTGATTAATTATAGTTAACTCTCTTTATTTACTTTACTTCACTTTACTTCACTTTACTTCACTTTACAATAAAAGCAATGAGATATTATATTACATGTAAGTGCCAACAAAAAATGGCGACAATGCATACCGAAACTCTTTAATTTAGCGCAATCATGGCTATTACACATTCGCTTTAGTTTATATCCTGCGTGAAGTTTA